CAGGAATATTTATATCATTCACTTTGATTTTGTATGCTTGAAATTTGTATTTTATATGCTCAAAATTTGACAAACACAGAAGAAAGTAATAGTACAGAAAGTAAAGGGGAAAAAAGCCTATATTTCCTTTAGCACCTAGCACATTATATGGCACACAAATAAACATGATGAAAAAATGAAGTACATGTCATAACTAAAGAACAGTTCCTATAAAATCCCACAATGACAAGAGCAGATTAAAACAAAAATGAGGGGCACCTGGGTGGCTCAGTGGGTTAAGCCTCTGCCTTCGGCTCAGGTCATGATCTCAGGGTCCTGGGATTGAGCCCCGCATCAGACTCTCTGCTCGGTGGGGAGCCTGCTTCCCCCCTCTCTCTGCCTGCCTCTCTGCCTACTTGCTATTTCTCTCTCTCTGTTAAATAAATAAAAGATCTTTTAAAAGAAAGAAAGAAAGAAAGAAAGAAAGAAGGAAAGAAAGAAAGAAAGAAAGAAAGAAAGAAAAAGAAGAAAGAAAGAAAAAGAAAGAAAGAAAGAAAGATGAATGCCCAAAGTAAGGCCGTCCTTCAGAGTAAAGGAAAAATGGCATGCAAAGCAATGGCCACACTGACCTCAGATCTGGATGACTGGAACAGAAAGGGGACAACCCAAAAAAAGCTTCCATCTTTTTACAAGATAAAAGGCACTGTACTTTATTCTATAAAGGCCATTCATATAAATTCAAAATATAATCAACAGGGACAAGAAAATGTGGCTGAAATTTTATGTACCAAATAATACTACAGCATAATTAGAAAGAATACTAATAGAAATGTTAAGGATCAATTTGACCAGAAAACAAATACAGCAGGAAGAAAACAGTATCTCAACCTCAGAAAGGTCAAGTAAACAAAAAAATTTTAAGGGCATAGAAAATTTAAATCTTATAAGTGCTAAGGTAGTATAAACTAGATATACATGGGCACCTGGGCGGCTCAGTCAGTTAAGAATCTGCCATCAGCTCAGCTCATGATCTCAGGGTCTTGGGACTGAGCCCCATGTGGGACTCCCTGCTTAGCAGAGAGTCTGCTTCTCCCTCTCCCTCTGTTCCTCCTCCCTGTTCATGTGTGTGTGCATTCTCTCTGGCTCTCAAATTAAAAAAACAAACAAAACAAAACAAAACAAAAAACACTCTAGATATATAAAATTTGAATCCTTCAAAACAATTTGCATAACCTCTGGAAGCAGTTTCAACAATTTCCCCAACTGATTAATTCTGCTCTAGTAAAATGATATTAGCCTATGGGGCTTATGGTCAAAACAATTTTTTGAGAGCCACCCATCTAGATCATGTACAGATAAACGTTTGGGTTTTGTTTTTAAATTCACATTCAAGTAACTAAAAGTAAAAACTTAATGGACTAAGTGCAAAAAAGTATAAATTTTCCCATCAGGAAAAGAAACTTATTTATGCCAGCTTATTCTACTAATGTGCCAAAGAGTAAGATGTGACGTATGTGTTTCACATTCTAGGAATACCAGATTTTTAGCTACCACCTACATAAGAGCTTATATAAAAACATCTCAAGTACCTATTTTAGTTTGATTTTCTCTTGCTTCTTACTCTTACTTGCCACAAAATCTCAAATTCTTAATAAAAACAAAGAATAGGGGGCGCCTGGGTGGCTCAGTGGGTTAAGGCCTCTGCCTTCGGCTCAGGTCATGATCCCAGGGTCCTGGAATCGAGCCCCGCATCGGGCTCTCTGCTTAGCGGGGAGCCTGCTTCCCCCTCTCTCTCTCTGCCTGCCTCTCTGCCTACTTGTGATCTCTGTCAAATAAATAAATAAAATCTTTAAAAAAAAAAAAAAAAAACAAAGAATAGGTACCTGAGATGTTTTTATGCCATTAATCCCCAGTACAATACCGTGAACCCTGCTGCTGATCAAAAAGGAAATGAGATTTTTTTTCTGATTACTACAAATATTTTCATTTTGTAAAAATTTATTTTCATGTAACCTAAACCAATCATCTTAATAAATCAAAATATTATACCAGATTTCAAAGAGGTGAAACCTATTTTAAATTTGCTCTCAAATCAAGTCCTTGAATATAGGGTTTATTTTATGTCTCTTCCACTCTAAAAGACAAAAGTAATATCACAATCTGCAAAGTCACTGCAGGACTGTGTTTATTACTTCATGAAACTCTCAAAAGGCTTATATACAAAGGTGTTATAAACAAGATGTAAACCATATGTACCATGGATTTAGACATTTTAATCATTACAGCACAAAAATGTAAATATTAAAGAAAGGTAGCATATATTTGTCAAGAACTAAATCATTTTATAGTCTCCAACTACACTCAACACTTTAGAACAGTGGTTCTTAAGGATAGGTAAAGGAATCCCAAATATCATGGATAGAAAAGGGATAAAGGACTAGTCATAATAAGACTCGGTGTTGTGAAGAAAGTTCCTAGTTGGTTGTGATATGTATATTCAACCATTTTAAATATGCCCATCCTGAAGGACTTACACTACAGAATCTCCTTATCTAATTTAATTTACACAGTATTCATTCAACTAACAATTATTAAGTGACAGGCATTATGGCAAACAATGAAAATGCATTCAAATAAAATGGGATTCTCTGCTCTCCAGAAAAGATGCCAACCACATGCCCAGAACTCCAAGAATATCTATATAGACCACAACAGATTTTTTTAAAAGTAAGACAGCAGTACTGTGTTATGCTTAAGAAACAGGTAATAAAGCAGTATGGCAGTGAGAAGGTTATCTATGTGCATCGGAGGAGTGAATAACCCTAATTAAGAAGTGAACAAATTCCATGGTTTTCCAAAGTACATTAAGTGGATGGGCACCTGGATGGTTCAGGTAGTCAAGCATCTGACTCTTGATCTCAGGGTTGTGAGATGGTGCCCACATCAGGGTACCACACTGTGCATGGAGTCTGCTTAGAATTCTCTCTCTCCCTCTGCCCCTCCCCCTTCTCTGGAAAAAAAGAAAAAGGCGGGGGTGTGGTGGGGAAGGAATACATTAAATGGAGCACTGAAGGAGTCTTTCACCAAGAGAGATCTAAACACATCTCCCACTATCCCCCATGGGTGAGATGGGGTACTGAGTTTGGGACTAAACCTACTACTAAACCTAATATAAGAGTTCAAGCTCTAATAAATATTGACAATGGGGGCCATTAAAGCCTGACTGTTAAACTCTCAACTATTAGAATCAGGTACACACACAACTGGGTTTAATCCTGCTTCCACTATTTACAAACTTAATGACCTTAGGTAAGTAAATCTCTCTAAACTTCAATTTCATTGAATTTAAAACAGAAGAAATAATAATCTACCTAAGAGTTGTTGGGAAAAATTAAATAATGTTATGTAGGTAAAAGCACTTAGCATATTGCCTGGCACTTAAAAAAGCTTAATACGTATTAGTGATTATCATTTATTGTTCTTTTCTATAATACTATGAACCCTGGCTCAGTTATTACAGGGGCATTAGCAGTATCACCTACATTCAACTTATTTAAAGATTTAGTTTGACCCACAACCATCTCTTATAATACATCTCAAACTCGGGATACCTGGGTGGCTCAGCTGGTTAAGTACCCGACTCTTGATTTCAGCTCAGGTCATGATCTTTGTGTAGTGGGACTGAGCCCTACACCAAGCTCCGTGCTCACTGTAGAGTCTGTTTGTCCCTCTCCTGCTGCTCCTCCCCCACTAAATTTTTTTTCTCTCTCTCCCTCTCTCTCTCTCAAATAAATGCACAAATAAGATCTTTAAATAACAATAATACATCTCAAATTCTATCTTACACTATGACCAATTCTGGGCTAGCAAAGATCTTCCACCATAAAAATGAAGAAGAAAAAAACTTCACATTCAAAAAGATTCACAGATTATGGGTACTTAACCGAACCAAAAAAGCAAACTTCTTTTGAAATAGATTTACTATAAGATACAGGAAAACGTGTTTACAAAACTTCTAGTTGATGTTCTCAGGACATTCAAGAGAGAATTATATACATGAAACTAGAGCACAAAGTTATGAAGGAAGATTAGGAAAAACTGTAGAGACAAAATAACATGATTTCCAAAGGCAAAACCACAACAGATCTGGATTAGATACTTCAGCAGAACATATAAAAAAAGAAATGATAAAAACTTAAAACTTATCCCAGGATGGATAAAAGAATTAAGAAATATAAATCCTGGGGCACCTGGGTGGCTCAGTGGGTTAAGCCGCTGCCTTCGGCTCAGGTCATGATCTCAGGGTCCTGGGATCGAGTCCTGCGTCAGGCTCTCTGCTCAGCAGGGAGCCTGCTTCCCTTCCTCTCTCTCTGCCTGCCTCTCTGCCTACTTGTGATCTCTGTCTGTCAAATAAATAAATAAAATCTTTAAAAAAAAAAAAAAAGAAATATAAATCCTGAGTAAGACAAATATGAAATCAGATCCAAAAGAGATAAATTTTTAAAAAATAACAATTCCCAAGGAAAGAAAAAAAAACTGAAGTGAGAACTGTAATATTGCAGCCTATAATAAAAATAATTCTCGGGGCGCCTGGGTGGCTCAGTGGGTTAAAGCCTCTGCCTTCGGCTCAGGTCATGATCCCAGGGTCCTGGGATCAACCCTCTCATTGGGCTCTCTGCTCAGCTAGGAGCCTGCTTCCCTTCCTGTCTCTCTGTTTGCCTCTCTGCCTACTTGTGATCTCTGTCAAATAAATAAATAAAATCTTTTTTAAAAACAATAATAATAATTCTCAAACTATACCAGGTGCAATTCTTAGCACTCTACATAAACCCTTTTAATTCTACCCTCAAATAAGTTTATTATTATCTCCATTTTATAGATGAGTAAACTAAGGAACAAAATGCTAAGAACCTTGCCCCAAGTCGCTAGTATCATGGCACAAATTGGAAAACAAGCAATCTGGCTCCTCACTATACAACGCCTCTCAAAGAAATATTAGGAGGAGACACGCAGTGGCTCCTATGGATCCCTGTGCACTCCTTCACAGCTCCTCTCAACCCAACTTTGCCGTGGCTTCCACTGGTCTACAAATCCTGAGGATCATCCTAATGTTGCTCGGCTGGGTGAATGCTCTGCTGTCCTGTGCCCTGGCCCTGTGGAAAGTGACTGCCTTCAACAGCAACATCACTATGGCAGCCCAGGTCGTGTGGGAGGAGCTGCAGAGGTCCTGCATGGTGCAGAGCACAGGTCAGATGCAGTGCATGGTATACACCCCACTGCTCGTGCTGCCCCAGGACCTGCAGACTGCTCTTGATCATCCTCCTGTTGGCTCTGCTTGGTCTGTTGGCTACATGGAAGACAAGGACTCCAAGGCCCATTTGGTGATTTTCTCTGAGATCATCTTTATCATCTCAGGGATCCTGCCGTGATCCCCATCTGCTGCCAGCCCACATAACCATTTAGGACTTCTACAACCCCCAGGTGGCCAAGGCCCAAAAGTGGGAGCTGGGGCCTTCTTCTACCTGGACTGGGCAGCCTCTGGCCCTGCATTGCTCAACAGAAAGGGAGCTGCTATGCTACACCTGCCCAGCAGGCTGGGGTATCCCAGGGCTAGAATATGATATGGTCTGACACTTGGAATCCACCACATATGTCACCTCTCAGGGTCCCTCCAAGTACCCCACTAAGAATTATATCTAATTCTGGTAGAGTACTGGGGACTCCCTTGACAGTGAAGCCTAATCCCCTGAGCTGAAGACATTGAAACAGTGATTCAGATAGCTTTGGGGCCATTTTCATCTTTTTTATTTATCCTTTTGCGGGGAGGGATTTTTTAAAATTCATTTGATAACCTAACCAAGAAATTTCAGACTCTCTTCTGGGCTCTGCAGCTGGTATCTCTCACCTTTACATGATGGAGTCAGGGAGGTGATGCTTCAATTTCTGGATCTTTTTCCACCCTGGACATCCCCATCTTGGAGGCTTACCTAGAAGGTTGCCTGATGTTCAGTCTGTCCCCAAGAGTCCCTCCTTACCAGTCAAGACCTATGGAATGCCCAGGGGCTCTTGAGCCTCATAACGCCTTGAGAAGCAAGTGGAAAGTTACCAAAAAACACCCACCCCCCAAATCATCTGACCTCTGGCTCTTCTATCCTGAGTCACATCACAGGATATGCTATCCACCTCTGACCCTCTCTCCTTCAGGCCCTGAAAACTACTGTCATGCCTTCCCACACACACACTCACCAGTTTTTGCTAAATAAAGTGTGTCCTGTCTTGTTAAAAATTTGTATCATCTTCTTTATCATTTAGATGAAGAATTAAGAACCATAATCTACCGATACTTACAACAGGAGATTAGAAATAAGGCAACAGTGAAAAAGTATAAAATTTCAAGGACATAAAGTAGAGGATGATAAAAGGAAAATCAAAAGGCTTGTCACATAAAAGTGAAAGGATTCAATACTATACTAATTATAATGAAAAAAGACATCAAGGGGTACCTGGGTGGCTCAGTGGGTTAAGCCTCTGCCTTCAGCTCAGGTCATGATCTCAGGGTCCTGGGATTGAGCCCTGCATTGGGCGCTCTGATCGGCAGGGAGTCTGCTTCTCCCCCCACCCACCACCCCACCTGCCTCTCTGCCTACTTATGATCTCTCTCCCTGTCAAATAAATAATAAAGAAAGAAAGAAAGAAAGAGAAAAAAGACATCAACAAACATAAGCAAAAAACATAAATCTCTTTAAATATAAGAATACAAAAATAAAATTGGACTTCAGTTTCCAGTGCCCCATATTAAACAGCTTAGAAATCACCATTTCATCCTAATGACAAGTAAAAACTACACAAACTGAAAAATCAACAACTCTTCATAACTCCACAAGAGAGGTGAGGGGACAAGGCAAACTGCTGCCCCCAAAACTGAACAGACTGATAGGTAAGTCCAAAGAGTCATAAGCCCCTGGAGCAGAAACATCCATGGCAACCAGTGCTGGAGTAGAAAAACTTGAACTATAATTGAAGCTCAGTGTGGGCAAGTCAGAAACTTGCATGGAATATCTTCTTCCATCACTTCACTTTCAGTGTGTTTTTGTCCTTCTATCTGAGGTGAATCTTTTGTAGGTAGCATATAAATGGGTTTTCTTTTTTATCCATTCAGCCACTCTATGTTTTATTGGAAAATTTAGTCCATTTACATTTAAAGTAATTACTGATAGGCATGTACTTATGGCAATTTTATTATTTTCTGGCTGCTTTGTAGGTTCTGTTTTCTTCTTCTCTTGCTCTCTTCCCTTGTGGTTTGATGAGGGATTTTAGTGGTATGCTTAGACTCCTTTCTCATTATCTTTTGTGTATCCACCATACCATCTTTGCTTTGTGGTTACCATGAGGCTTATATATAACAATCTGTAACAGTCTATTTTAAGTTAATAAAAACCTAAGTTTGAATGCATTCTAAAACTCTATATTTTACTCTCCCCTACTCTACCTTTTATGTTTTTGGTGTCACATCTTATCTTGTATTTTTAACTAAAATTGTCGTTATAGCTATTTTTACTATTTTTGTCTTTTAACTTTCATTCTAGTTTTGTAAGTGACTGATTGACTACCTTTACTACATATTTACATTTACCAGTGAGATTTACATTTTCATATGCTTTCTTGTTACAACCTAGGGTCCTTCCTTGTCAGGTTAAAGAAGTTCCTTTAAAAAGCTTCTTTATAAAGCTGATTTAGCATGATGAATTTCTTTACTTATGCCTGTCTGGAAAACTCTTGATCTCTCCTTCAATTCTGAATAACACTGCAGGATGAAGTTGCTTTCTTTCAGCACTTTGAATATATCGTGCCACTTTCTTCTAGCCTGTAAAGTTTCTGCTAAAAATTCTGATAACCTTATGGGGGTTCCTTTGTATGTAATACGTTGTTTTCCTCTTGCTGCTTTTAAGAGTCTCCCTTTGTCTTTAACTTTTGACATTTTAAATTATAATGTGTCTTAGTGTGGGTTTCTTTGGGTTCATCTTTTCTGGAACTCTCTGGTCTTCCTGGATCTAAATGTCCATTTCCTCCTCTAGGTTAGGAAAGTTTTCAGCCACCATTTCTTCAAGTAAGTTTTCTGCCCTTTCTCTCTCTCTCTTCTCCTTCTGGGACCCCTAAAATATGAATATTAGTCCACTTGATGTTGCCTCCTAGGTCCCTTAAAAGCTAGCTTCACTTTTTCATTCTTTTTTCATTTTGCTGCTGTGATTAAATGAGCTCCACTGCCCTAAATTTGATTTCACTGATCCTTTCTCCTGCTTCATCTAGTCTGCTGTTGAACCCCCCATTATATTTTTCAGAACAGTTACTGTGTTCTTCAACTCTGTAACTTCTTTTGGTGCTTCTTTATACTGTTTAACTCTTTGTTGAATTTCTTACTGTGTTCATACTCTTCCAAGTTCAGTGAACATCTTTACGATCATTACTTTGAACACTTCAGCATGTAAATTGCTTATCTCCATTTCATTAACATATTTTTCTGAGGTTTTATCTTGTTCTTTCATTTGGAACACATTCCTCTTTTTCCTCATTTTGTTTGACTGTCTGTGTTCATTCCTATCCATTCTTTTTTTTTTTTTTTTAGCTTATGAAATTTTTTTAGATTTTTTTTCAGTGTTCCAAAATTCATTGTTTCTGCACCACACCCAGTGCTCCATGCAATACATGCCCTCCATAATACCCACCACCAGGCTCACCCAACCCCCAACCCACCTCCCCTCCAAAACCCTGTTTCTTTCTCAGAATCCACAGTCTCTCATCATTTGTCTCCCCCTCTGATTCTTGAAGGAATGGTCTCATTTAGGAAATGAACCTTACCATTCAACCAAACTATAGTTTTTGGGTATCTCTTGAACCTTTGTGATTGTCCAAGCAGCCTATTTTATTTTTAATAGGTGCTAATTGTTGACGATGTGCCAAGACCTGTGTCCAAAACTGGACACGGTTGGGGGGGTGTCCTTAGTCAGCACCTAGATTCAGGCTGATTGGAAGCCAGACCCTCAGGCAGCAGCTTTTCAAGTATACAAATATAGTCTTGTGAAACCATGAGCTTAGTCCTGTTGGCTACCAGACCAGGCAGTCTAGAGGTGTCCTCTGGCAACAGTTGCAAAAATTGGTATGTAAAACTGATTCAACATTCAAAAATCAGTTAATGGAATCCATCGCATCAACAAACTACAAAAAGAAAAGCACATGATTATACCAATAGATGGAGAAAAGCATTTCACAAAATCTAACACTAATTCATGATAAAAACTCTCAGTACACTGGAATGAAGGGACTGTCCTCAACCTTGATAAAGAATATGTTCAGGGGCGCCTGGGGGGCTCAGTGGGTTAAAGCCTCTGCCTTCAGCTCAGGTCATGATCCCAGCGTCCTGGGATCGAGCCCCGCATCGGGCTCTCTGCTCTGTGGAGAGCCTGCTTCCTCCTCTCTCTGCCTACCTCCCTGCCTGCTTGAGATCTCTCTGTCAAATAAATAAATAAAATCTTAAAAAAAAAAAATACGTTCAGAGATGACATGACTGTCTATGTAGAAAATCTGAAAGAAATGACCAAAAAAACTACTAGAAGTAATAAGCAATTACAGCAAAGTGATACACTATGGGGTTAACATACAAAAATCAATTGCTTTCGTATGTACCAGCAATGAACCTATAAAATTTGAAATTAAAAACACAATACCATTTACAATAACACCCCAAAAATTATATACTTTGGTATAAATATAAAAAATTATGGGGTGCCTAGGTACCTCGATTGGTTGAGTAACTGCCTTCAGCTCAGGTAATGATCCAGGGGTTCCAGGATCAAGCCCTACATCAGGCTCCCTGCTCCCTGGGGAGCCTGCTTCTCCCTCTCCTTCTGATCTTTACCTCTGTCAAATAAATAAATAAATAAATAAATAAATAAATAAATAAATAAATATAAAAAATTATGTACAAGATGTATATGAGGAAAAACTAGGAAACTCTGATGAATGATACCAAAGAAGAACTTAAGAAACGGGGAGATATTCCATGTTCGTGTATAGGAAGACCCGATCTTGCTAAGATGCCAGTTCTTCCCAACTTGATGTACAGATCCGAGGCAATCCTAATTTAAATCCCAGATATATGCTCTGTGGATATCAACAAACTAACTCTGAAGTTTAGAGAGAGAGGCAAAAGACCCAGAATAACCAATACAATATTGAAGAACAAAATTTGAGGACTGACACTACCTGATTTACTGCAAAGATACAGTATTCAAGATAGTATGTTATTGGCAAAAGAATAAATAGATCAATGGAACAAAACGGAGCCCAGAAATAGACTCACATATACAGTCAAGCAATCTCTGACAAAAGAGCAAAAGCAACACAATGGAGAAAAGACAGCCTTTTTAACAAATGGTACAAAAACACTGGACATCCATGTCCAAATAAAATGAATCCACAGACATTACCCCCTTCACAAAAACTAACTCAAAATGGACCACAGACCTAAATGTAAAATCAAAACTATAAAACTCATAGAAGATAACACAGGAGCAAATCTAGATGACCTTGATGATGACTTTT